AGTAAACCCCACTACAGCAAAGGACTGTAACCCAAACATTGAAGAGCCAGGCCCACTGGAGGGGAAGAGAGCATTAGCGGCCCAATGTACAGTCAGAAGCCAGAAGGGTAGACAGCAGCAAGATGCGCATAAAACAGATTTCCAAAGGCATTTCTCAGGGACACTGTCCTCAGTACAACAGAAGGCCCCTGGATCCTCTGCCAAGACATCAGCTACTTGTAGCCGACCTGTATTGAGTGTCGTATGGGAAATATGTTCAAATACAAACCCCATGTCACAGGTGAGAACTCTGAGTCAAAGTAGTGGGAAATGATGGAGCCTCAACTGGGAGGCAGGTTGTGTGGTGACAGAAGTCGAGGTGAGCAAGTGCCAGGATGCTGAGGCCCTGAGGGCTCTGTACACTATGCGAAGTGCAAGAGAAAGTTGGTGGAAGGGGACTGGGGTTTCCTGACATACTCTTAGATATGACTGGGAAAGGATGTAACGTCCGCAGGAAGTTCCACCAAACAATGCCTCCTTGGGCTGGCTGATAAGACAAACTTCAGCTTTGGCCCTTGGATCATCCTTAAGCGAGTCGGGTTGAATTCACTAGGAAGCAGGCCCTGCAAAGTGGGATGCCTTCTCTCTAGCCCAAACTCTGGACCAGCCTTATCATGTTACATTCCATCTGGTTAGGGATGCAAATCCCGGGGCCACTCCCAGACCTGCCGAATCTCAGACTCAACAACCCAGCTTCTCCCCCAACTTCACTTTTGTCTCTTTTCTCGTTTGCAGCACTGGGAATTCGAACCCAGAACCCCGTGAACGCTAGGCAATCAACCACCCTGAACGCTAGGCTCCGCCCCTAGATCCGAATTCAACCTTAACCTTTCAGGTGAAGTCAACTCTGCTCAGAAGCTGGAAGGAGCCAACTTTGCAGAGCTCCCTGCCTCTCCCCTAGGCAGACCTGCTCTGCATACCACTCAACCCTTCCCCTGGGCCCCACTGCTGCCTCCCATGCCTAGAAACCCCACGACTGCCCCAATCCATTTCTCTTACAAATCTGATTTCCTGAACATATTTACTGATCAACTGTCCAGGCCACATGGCCAAGGTAAAACAACTTGTCCCCCCTTCTAGGATTCCATTTCACTTCCACGACTCTCGGCCTTCACAGCAGACCGCTGTGACACTCTGGACATTTACTTCAACTTTCCCGACACCTCTAACAACGTGTTGGCTTTTTTATTCACCCGTGTCTCTCTCGTTAATACACTACGAGAAATATGTGTGCCCTTGGAATTCCAGGAACTTCACGCTATGCCAGACACATCGATGACAGCAGATGTTGATGTCTCCCCTGTCCTCAAGAAAACGTCTCATTGGCAGGGAATGGCCAGACACAAACAAACAATTATAAACAATACACATGTCAGAAAGGCCTGGGAAGGGTCACTGAGCTGAGGCCAACATGATGATAAAGAGTCAAGCCCGACCAGCGCTCCCTGACAGGAAATATTCGTGTTCTGAATCTACGCCCAACTCTAGTCTAAGCTCTCTACATGCACTACCCATGTAAGTACCCAACCACCGTGCAAGAAAGCCGTAGCCTCATCCACACCCGACGAGGGAAGAAACTGGCATACAGGGAGAGAAACGGGTATGTGAACAAAACAGCCAAGATGCAGGCAAACAGAATGGCTCCAGAGCCCATCTTCCGGACCACAGCTTGCGAGAACTGGATGGGATGCTGAGGATGTAGGAGGAATGGCAGGCAGGTGTCCAGGCAGACCAACATATGCAAGAGTTCCCGGGAGGAGAGATGTCAGCCTAAAGCCAGAAGAAAACCTGAGGAAGTTGGGGAAACTGTGACGCGTCAGACGAATCGGAACTCCAAACTATTCCGGAAGTGGACCAGACAAGGCAGGCTGGTGAATGCAGACTACTGATATGTATATGTAAAGGAAAAGAAACACTCCCCACTTCCCGGATTCCTACATTTTAAAGTTGGGAGGACACACTGGGTACAACCAAGTACTATACCATCACATTTAATAAAGTCTAAAGGGGGGCCAGGGGACTGCAAGTCCTCGAAAAGATTCAGTCAATTGATGAAGCCGGTGTGCAGATCTTCTCCTCATTACATCTCCAGAGTCCCCACTGAAGGAGCCCACTCGGTGCCCTGAAATCCTATTTACAGAACACTATTCCCACTTCTTAACAATAAAAATGATGTATACAGCCATGAGGCAGCTTCCGTTAGAATTAGGGCTTTTCTCACACAAATATGAAGGGAAAGTTTTCACAATGTTTTTACTTTTTTTTTTTTTTTTTGGAAGAGCACAATTAAACCAGTTGACAAGGGAGAAGTGACGCAACTCTGTGCCGACTACAAAGATGTTCAACCATCATTCAAACTCGTGACCGTCCGACTGGAAGCCTACACTTTCTCCTTTACACCAATGCTTCCCCGCTGGATGGGGTGGTGCAGGCCTAAGACCTCAGCACTCTGGAGACCGATGCAAGAAGATTCTGAGTTCAAGATCAGCTTGGGTAGGACCAGTGAGACTGTTCTCAAACAAATCACCACTGCTCTCTGGTGCATAGCAGTATGGATTTGGACGCACAAGTCAACTTTCCAAAGTCTCAATAGCAATGGTCTCTTTTGAATCTCTGTCATTACATACCTTGTGTTTGTGTGTGTGTGTGTGTGTGTGTGTGTGTGTGTGTGTATGGGATTTGATACTTTTTATATAATACACACACACACACACACACACACACACACACACACATTTCAATAAACTCCAAAAGTCAAGACTGCCAAGAAAGCACAATAAAAATTTCTCTACCGTTATTAAAAGAATAAAAGCACTGACTGACTGGCTGCACCAAGATGGGGTGGGATTTTGAGGGAGTAGTACAGCAGAAATAACTGAAGCTTGGGAATCTGTTCGCCAACCACCAAAAAACAGCCAAGCACCTGTTCCGTACTGTACCCAAATTTGACTACAGCCACATATAACTCTCTCCTCAAGAGAGATAGAATATCGGTCGCCTGGGGGGAACGTGGATCCTAGAAGGGCAACCCTCGGCGTTTGCCCTGAGCGCAGTCCTGATTTGGATGAGCACTGCACTGGTAATCCCATCACCTTATCTTCTCAAACCGAAGTATAAAAAGCCCCCTCTGGGGGGCTGGAGAAATGGCTCAGCAGTTAAGAGCACTGACTGCTCTTCCAGAGGACCTGGGTTCAATTCCCCAGCACCCACATGGCAGCTCACAACTGTCTGAAAATCCAGTTCCAGAGGATCTGACACCTTCACACCAATGTACATAAAATAAAGATAAATAAATCATAAAAAAAATTTTAAAGAAAAAAAGAAAAAAAGCCCCCTCTGAAAGCCACTCCTTCCAATTTTAGATTCCTAGAAAATGACCCAATATCCAAAATTATTCTTTCCAGGATCCAAATCCTGACACGGCTGTCATACTTAAAAATAAATGCTGAACAAGTACACATGATAATCCAAGTCACCAACCCAAAGCTAGGGAGCTGCCTTCGGGTCATTCTCCAGAGAGATGAAGCGAGACGTTAATTACAAGATGAGAAAAGTCAACTAAATGACCGTCCCTATCCCTACCAAAACTTTACAAATGTTCTGCCACTAATGTTTAAGTCAACTTTCTTTATGCCTGGGCCTTAGTCTCTATTCTTAGCAGTTGGGTAAGGACACAGAGAAGTCTACAAACCGTCACCGAACTCTGTGGTGGAGGGCCACCTGTAAACTTCCCAGCCATCTTCGATCTGAACCACTCCCCTGAAGCTCAAATTTAATGTGATACGTCTTAAAGGAACTGATACGATGGTTTTTCAGGCACACTACTGGCCAGCCTGGGTTGAGCTGGGTTGAGTCTGGGTTCTACTAATGGAATAGATACATTTATCAAAACAGAAGTCTTAAAGAACTCTTATTTGCAAAGTCCTCAAGTGAAACCACTGGATAGGCAAACTTCGAATGGAGAGCTTCCAGAGTCACAGAAGGGATACATGGTCGCTTCACGTTCAGCTACAGAAGAGAGAAGATGGGAGGACTGTAGCTGGCCAAGTCTAAAAGAACAGCTGCGGGGCAGGTGAACCACAACAAGAAAAGATAGGCAAGTCTCTCTCGGCAAAATGGATAGCACAGGGTGATCATTATTACAACCGGGGAGCTGTTACATAACTACTTAACTCCTGACACACACCTACATGGCTTACGCTAGCCACTGAAGCCACTGTACGTGCTGCAACTGCCAAGGTTTCTCCAATCAATTTCATTCAAAGAAATAAGTAATCCTGGAAGCTATTCCTTCCGAAGGTAACTTGCCTGCTTTTACACATACAAAACAGCCTCCGGGAAAGCCAACTGCCTTTCTAGAGACAAAATTCAGTGTTTCTCCTTAATATTGTTTTCTTACGGTTTTTTTTTCTTTAAGAGAGAGAGATACAGAGTTACAGTCACAGAAGCAAATATATGATCACCTTGCTAAAAAACGACTTCCATTCCAAACTGGAGGATGTGAAAAGGGTCCCTCCCCCATCCCTGCCTGTACCGCTGGCGCAAATCCCAAGACCTCAGTGTCCGATGTACTGCATTCCAACATTTGTCAAAAAGTTTACGAGGATTTATCGAAGCGACCGAGAAAAACAAATAAATAAATAAAACTGGCAGAAACGGAGGAAAGCGAGCAGGAGGATTCAAGCAAGGAAGAAGCGGTAAAGCGCCCGGCGGCTCGGTGCAAGGCCCGACAACCAGGAAGCGACCCAGCCCCCGCAGAGCGACCGCCCAGCGGAGCGCGGGGGGTTGGCAGGCTCCAGGTCTCGGTGGCCCAGGGTCCCTGATACCCCAGCCCGGGCCCCGCCTCCGATCCCCTCCCCAACCCTTCCCCCGCAGCGCCGTGGACGCCCGCCGGGGCCAGCTTGGCCCCGGGTCAGCCCTGCGGAGCGCGGCACAACCGCGGAAGCCGCCGGCGCCCTTACCTCCTTCTGCTTGGGGTCCTGCGGGTAGACATCGGGCGGCCCGAGCCGCGGGCGCTTCAGTGGTCTCTGTTCATAACT